TCTTTCCCTTTAGGGTGAATTCATCGTTTCCACGCGTGTGAGATGCGGCCGTTCCTTGGAAGGCTACCCATTTAACCCCTGTTTGACTGAAGCTCAGTACAAAGAGATGGAGGAAAAAGTCTCCAGCACTCTGTCTGGTTTAGAGGGTGAACTTAAGGGAACCTTCTATCCTCTGACTGGTATGAGCAAAGAAGTCCAACAGAAGTTGATCGACGATCACTTCCTGTTCAAAGAAGGTGATCGCTTCTTACAAGCTGCTAACGCTTGTCGTTTTTGGCCCACTGGCCGTGGTATTTACCATAACGATGCTAAGACATTCTTAGTTTGGTGCAACGAAGAAGATCATCTTCGTATTATTTCCATGCAGATGGGCGGTGACCTTGGACAGGTAAAAACTTTTAAATTAGAACTCTTGCAACTCTTTATTCTATATCAATAATTATAAAACTAAAATTTTTACTTCAATAATATTAATTAAACTTCTGATATAGGTTTATCGTCGTCTGGTGAGTGCTGTAAACGAGATTGAAAAACGACTTCCGTTCTCCCATCACGACCGTCTTGGCTTCCTGACCTTCTGCCCGTCTAACTTGGGTACTACAGTTCGTGCCTCTGTGCATATCAAGTTGCCTAAATTAGCTGCCAACAGGGCGAAACTCGAGGAAATCGCAGGAAAGTTCAATCTCCAGGTCCGTGGTACTCGTGGAGAGCATACTGAGGCCGAAGGTGGCATCTACGACATTTCTAACAAACGACGTCTCGGTCTGACCGAGTACCAGGCAGTAAAGGAGATGCACGATGGAATCGCTGAGCTGATTAAGCTCGAGAAGGAACTTTAAACAGCGCTCCAGAGACAAAGCAATACGCGATCATTTTCTTCTTTTATTCGTCCTATAGACGTTCTTGATACATCGAGGATCTCTTTTTTCCTTTCTTATTTTTTCTTTTCTTTTTTCTTTTAAAAAAGTAAAATAACCCTCAATCTTCATATTTTCTGCAAGCTGAAAAGGACCCATTTTGAAAAAGAATATAAAAAATAATTTTTGAAAAATTTATAACGTAAAAACGTATTACGTTGATTCATGTTCCTAAACATGAGAAAAAATAAAAAATAAAAAATTGTATTCTAAAAAAAAATAAACAAAAAAAAGACAATTTCTAAAAGATAATGGAGCGTTTTTTTATCCACACAATTTTGTTATGTGGAATAAAATAGAGGACAAATTTCATCTCCTAATTATAGGTAGGTGTTTTGGTCCTCGATGTACTAAGACTTTTTTACGCTACAAGCGCGTCTTTAGAGTTCCATGTGGAGATGACAGAAGTTTCATTTGTGATGAAATAAATTCTAAGAAATTCTAGCTTGTCTGGAGATTTAAATATCAAATCACAAACATTCAGTTTCAGATGATGTCGTCTAGAATTGTTATTGTGAACAAAGACTTCTGCACGTCTCCCCGGTCTCAACTCCTTTACATATGCGTTATTATTATTATTATTATTATTATTATTATTATTATTATTATTATTATTAATATTATTAATTTTATTGTCTCTTACGTTGACTCAAGTTCCTTCTTATCAGTCTGTACGAACAAAAAAGAATGCAAAAAAAATCAGCTTGTATTATACGTTACATGTAATACGCATATCTTCAACAGTATTTTAATTTTGTTTCACCCTGTTTTCTTTCTTTTTTTTTTTTTCTAAAGTCATGTAATCCAGCCTGTAGAAAAAATACACACAGTATTCTTTCATTTTCTTTATTATTCTTTTATTCGTTTTGTCCGTAACCTTTTGTTTTTTATGATCATATTACTATTTAGCGGAAGTATCTTTGTATCTGCACCGTGTTACTCCGTGAAAATTGTTCAACGTTTGTAATAACGTCTAATGAAAGGGAAAAGGCGAGTTATATTGTTATGTGTGAAGTTTGCATTGATCGAATAGGTCGTAAGACCTTCCGCTTAACACGTTGAGGACGCTTTGGATTTTTGTACAGTGTGTTCCACACGAGAAATCAATTTCGATCCTTTTTGACCTGTTTTCGGACATGAGCAGCATTTTTGCCCTGGACGAAAAGAGTCGCGACGTTTGATATAAGTATAAAAGATGAATTTGTATGGATGAAAAGACAAGAAGCATTTTTCCGAGAGTACTACAATGTCTGGATTTATTTATACTGTACAACATCTGAACTGCCGTCGCTGTAATATCAGGACTTTGTTGGAAATCGAGATTAAACAATTAGATAAATAATTTTTAAATTATTTTATTTTCTGAAAGAAAAAGCACTTGTGTACAATAACAGAATTAGTAGAAACTTTTGTTATCTTCTTTATAAAAATTGATAAAAATAATGACAGAATGGATCTTGGTAAGTTAAAAAACTCGGAGCTACAACAAAGAAGTTTGAGCCTCCATTTTGAAATCTAAATCCAGCGCGTGAATCCGGTCCTTGATGTGTTAAAAGAACACGAGTGCAATGTCTACAGCATCTCGACGACCGTTTTCTAACGTGTGTGTACGAGAGAATATTACACATATTGTTTTTCCATTCTCATTTTTTACTAAAACCAAGAACATCTGCGACGAATATAGCATGCTATGTACTGCAGCTGAAGCAGTAACAGCTCCACTATCAGATGTATGAAGATGTGACTTTAAAACACGAATAAAAAGACATACATAAAAATATTTTTCTCTTTAATCAACTTCACTCCTTTTGATATCTTTAAACAGAAATAAAAAATCTTTTTATTATAAATATAATTGCATCTTATAAAAAAAAAGAATGAATGACTTTGTGAAGTTTTAAATAATTAAAATATGAAAAGAAAAAATTGATAAAAGACAATAATAATTAAGGTAATAATTATTAATAACATTCAAAAAATACACAAAAATATAAAGAAAGTATTTAACAAAACGAGTGTGTATATATGCAGGAATTGTAAGTGTGAGAGTTAGTGCAAAGGAACCCTTGGGCCTGTCTAGATTGAGGCCGCGTGCAAGGATCGGATGAACGGGATATTTATGACTATATGGAATGCAAGTGAAGAGCGAAAGGTGCCTGAATTTTTAGGGTACGTGACCCATGGAGAGCGAGGCTATGGGAAATGTGTGATTGAGGAAGAAAGCTTGAGTATGAAAGAAGACAGAATGCAAGGTTTAAATGAGGGTGCAAGGGCTGTCCTAGGATAGTCCTGTTGATGAGAGTTATACACAAGGTTTGAAGGGCAGTCCTGTTGGTGAGAGTATACACGAAGTTTGAGAGAGAGTCGAGTCGGTGATAGTTCGAAAAGTTGACGTGCGAATGTGGATTGCGTAATTAGTTTAATTTTTTAGTTTGTATCTTTACTCTTAAGTCTCTTTAGCTCGTAAATAAAATATATTGGAATTAACAAAATCCTTTATTTCGTATATAAGCCAATCAAAACATATCCCTATATATATGTGTGTGTATATATATATCAGTATTATACATATTAATCACATTGTATATTAAATTAAAAATTTATAATTTTAACATGTAACAGCAATAGTACTTTGTGCTCATGATACTGGAAATACACACAGTCTTTTAGTACTTAAATAATAATTCAATATTAACAGTTAATAATTAAGGAACAATAAGAACTAGCTCCTAAAATAAATTAAAACTTTCCTAAATCATATGCTTATTTGTATTTTCCTCATTTAAAGAGTGTGAACTGTAATGCTTATTTCTCGATACTGTATTAATATTTACAGTTTAGAATATTCTTTTTTATTAAAAATGGCACTTTGACAATTAAATAATAAGACGTTAGTGTTAATATTGTACTTATAATCATGTGTAAACATGTATTCTATTGCAAATGTATAATCTCATTTTAAAAAATCATGCTATCTCAAGAGATTGAAAATATAAAAAAATTGCTCTTACAAAAGTTGTTAAGTTAGGGAAACACATTATGTGGTATTATCATTCTTTTCAATTGATTGGAATTTATCCAAAAGTAGTTCTCGAAACTTCTCATAAACGCTATAAAAGATATAGAACAAAGTATGATCGAAAAAACTTGTAAGTTCCAACAAATGAAGATATATTTCACAGAATGTTGCTTCATTCGGACCTATATCACATGATCAGCGATTATTTCACCTAAAATAAAAAAAATGATACCATTTGATGCTTTAGCATTATTAATGGATGTGCCAATAGAAGATCAATTTATTAATTCTGATTGTGAGAATAAAAAAATATAATTAAAAAAATTGAGAAAAATATTCCAATCATTTTTGTTAATAATCTTTGCATTATTTTAGTAGCACCAATAATTTTTACAAATATAATATAAGAATTACAAACGGAAAAATGAACGGAATTATTCCCCTATACTTCAGGTACTTAGCATATATGATGGTCAAGCGTCAAAAATTGAGCAAACATAATATATATCTTTTATAGCAATTTTGTACAACGTACATGTACGAAAATATACTTAGTTTTCTAAAAATATATTTGAACTATGCAAACGTAATATGAGAAACTTCTAAAATCACAAGTTTACCTATGTTCCGTGGAGTATCAAAATGACTCATTTCGGTATATAGAGGTATACTGCATAAAATTTTATACAAAACAGACAAAAAAAAAAGAAAACTGATTCCGGCAATTCCACTCCACCTACAATCATTTAATCAACCTAGAAACTGAGATACAGGAATCCTTTGCTAACCAACAACATCTAACTGCTGTATGTCTTGATATTGAAAAGGCATACGATATGGTATGGAGATACAGGATTTTAAAAATCTTGCAAAAGTTCGGAATCAAAAATAACATCTTCAACTTCATCAGAAACTTTCTCCATACAAGGACCATCCAAGTTAGAGTCGCAAATTTTCTCCCTTCATCTAGAACCATACAAAACGGCGTACCACAAGGATCAGTGCTAAGCGTTAGCCTATTTCTCATAGTCATAAACGACGTGATGACAAACCTATCTAACCCGGTCAAAGGATTCCTACTTGCTGATGATAATAATATGCAGAGGATTTACCATTCAAAGTTTACTACAGAGCAGTCTAAACAACCTTCAAAAATGATCGCGAAATACTGGATTCTGGAATACCACTTGACTGTTTGCTTGCCCACCTAAAGAAGCAAATTAAAAATCATTGAAACAATGCATGGTAAACCTCAGTGAAACCACGACTACTAGCCATCAAAAATGATTTCTACACAAACGTAGTACCACCCATGCTAAACAGACGCGACCAAGTCATACTATCAAGAATTGTTATCGGACAAACCAAAGTAACACATAAATTTCTACTCGCGAAAGAAGACCAACCTCTCTGTAAACGGTGTAAGACGTCCCTATCAATAGACCACCTCATACTGCAATGCGAAGTATATCTTCTACAAAGAACTCAACTCAGCATCAAACCCACTTTAAAAGAAAACTTAAAGGACAGAGAAACAATTTCAAGACTGTTGCAATACCTAAAACACACCATGCTCTACGACATCATTTAATACAGTTCTCCCTCTGTCGTCGTTAATAACCTGTGAAGATGCGACGGAAAAGAAAAGAAAAAAAAAGAAAAAAAAAAATACTTCAAAATCATCGGGATCAATTCACGTATTTTGTAATTGATAAATCTCATATTATTTTTTTCTTTTTTTTTGCACAACACTAGCAAAAGCACATTACTTTTTCAAACTCATCAGATCTATATTCTTTTTAATTTTAATTCTCAATTTTCTTCGAAGTACATAAAATCCTGAAATAAATTTTTATAATATTAATAAATTTATTAATGCTATTATTTAACTAAATTTTCATAATAACTTACAATTAAAAGGCAGGCACCGAGTAAAACAGACTTAATTTTAACATCTAAGTCCAAAGGAAAACTTATGCCGAAATTGTTAGAATACGTAAAATATTCTCTAGCCGTACCGCACCATTCTTTTTTAATTTCTCCAACTCTGTGTACTCCATCAGCAGACTTTACCTGAAGAAAGAAAGATAAGGAATTAAATGCTAATTAAAGAATATTTATAATAATATTTTATATTTTACCTTAAATTTCACATCCATGCAAAATTGAATCCATGGTCCTTTTATAATTAAAACGGTTTCTCCGGATGCATCGCGAACAGAAAACGAAGGTCTCCAAAGACTCCAATTTTGTGAAATAGACCCGAGCAATGTATCGCCAGAATATACTTCTAATTCCTAAAAATAAATGAATTGACTTTTAAAATAAAAATATAATCTTAAAACTAGATTTCCTCTTTATCGACAGTCACACGCCTGTAGGGACAATAGTGACATCTTCGTAAGTATAACTATTTGAACAGTTTTTATGATTATTGAAGAGAAGATAAATCATATCTAATACAAATTTATAACAATATATTTCATAACAATAATAATTAATAAACATTCATTTATTCCATGAATGATTTTTCTAACGGAAAAGAATAATTGTTACAAAAGGAATTGTATTTAAATTAAACTTCAGATCAAGTCAATAAATTGTTTAAATAATATTTTTCTATAATAGCTACACATCTAAAAATATTTCCATGGAAGCTAACGTTTATTAAAGAGGACCATACCGTACTGTTCTTATATGAAATCGAGTATACGAGGTTCTTTACCGCAAGCCGAAAGAACGCGACCAAAAGTGTCGACGAGCGGTGCTGGTCAAAGAATATCGATCGTGAATCGTGACCGGCTTTTCTAATGGGCGAGTAACTTTTCGTCAAAGGTAATCGTCGCAGATGGTGTGCACGTGTGAAGAAAGTTCGCATGTTATGCGCACCGCATGTTCGAGAAACTCAAGCGAACGTTTTGCGAGTCGTATCTATTGGCCGCCATAAATAAAGAGGCAATTACGGTAACGTTGCTGGCGGACGCGTCCTTCATGAACTGATTGACTACCTACGTGACTGTGCTCGGGTGAAATATGGTTGCGCTATACAATTGATGTACAACTGTGAAGGGAAAATAAAAGCTAGCGATTGTAGGTACGGGCAAATAAGTGAAAAAATTAAATTATCTAATCAAAAGGAATAATAAATCTGACAATCAATTAAAGAATATGATAATAGAATTTGAGGTTATACATTAAATATGACATTATGAGTTAACCAATTTTGATTGGAAGAAGAATTTAGGCACCTGATATAGGGATTAAGGTTTCACATTATCATTAGCATAAGATAAAACGAAATTACAGAAATCTTAAAGCTGGTACGTTGTCAATCATCTTAATAGTTTTGTCAAACGTTTGCTAGTTGTTTGTAAAATGTTTGTAGAATAAAAAAAGGGAACATACTTGTAAGCAGCACGGACAACAGCAACTATCACACCTGCAGGGTCGAACCATACGCAAGACTTCTCTTTGGTTGCTGTCCATCACATAAAATTCACAACTTCGATATCGCCCCATACAAAACCGCGCGCATATTCCTGATTGTTTCGCAACGTAAAACACTGTCTCTCCTCCAATATTCACCACAAGATATTTGTTTTTAGTTTCCCATCTGGTAAAAGCTGTAATCATTGAACTAATTTATTCTTATATTATTGCAGTAAAATATGGGTTGCGCGATAACAAGGATAATACGTTATTTTGAATAACATGAAACTAACCTTCTATTAATTCAACTTTTTGGCGGACGAAGAGATGATCAAGGACTATAAGGTATTCCAAACCGGGTGGACAGTTCGTATTCGGCGGTAACCAACCACCTAGAGTACATAATACTAAAAATTCTGTTTACTGAATTAAATTTTAATTAATTGATTATCGATCAAGTGATAAACCTTATCGATTTTAATAAAATATGTATAGTATAAAAGATATCATTTTGAGTAATATCTTTTTATACATATAAGCAGCGCTCAGCTTTAGTTTCCTAGTATCAGCAAAAATTTTTTGGTACTATACAATGAATCTGCCTATATATGTATATCCGTGAGACACACTCATAAAACCGCCTTAGTGGATCTGATTACATGGCCAGCTGTGCGTGCGTTTGTCTCATGAATACACATGTATGAGGAGAATTTAATCTATTAATACCAACAAATTTTTACAAATTTCTCGGGTATTAAGGCCAACAACCTCTTACATGTATACGAAATAATTGGTCAAAATGATACTATTTATAATATATTTTAAGTTCATCAACTAATTGAAAAGTTGACTTTTATTTCTGTTATAAATTGTAGAAATTTTTCTACAAATTTTGACATTCAAATTATCATTCAAATTTGAATTTTATTTAGTCAAATTTATATTTAAATTTTTACTTTCAAGTAAATCTCTCCAGTTTTACATAATTTAAAATCGTTAAACTTTTATCGCATTTATTTTGTGTAGCCGAGAAACTCTTTAAATTTGTCTTTACGAAATTTAATCGTTAATCAAGCATCTAATAGTCACCTTTTTTCCTCATCCGTGAGAAATCTGGTATAGCCCTTCCTCTTTGACCGATATCTGTGTAAAGTGTCTCTGAATAAAACACGAAGCCGTCTACGAATTTGCTGTATCTTGACCCTCCAGGAAGTTTCAAAATATTCAGACTCCATCACTCGGACACTTTTTTCACAGACTTAATTCACTTTTATTTCCTCATGATTGTAAGAAAAATTTTAAAATATCCTAACGAACTGTCTATCCGTATTTTAACGCGTGTACATATATATACTCTTCTACTGTCACGTCATTAACTTTTCCTCATTTTTCACAGACTTCTTAACGTATGGAAGCTTAATTCACGAATTCGTTCGGTACAAAAATAAGCATCGGTAAAACTGCTACAACATACCGATGTATTGGCAGCACTTGATGCACTAACGATCAGTTGTTTTCTCAAGTTTCTCCTCCTCAGCAAAATGATAAGACTTGTGTACTTTTCTTGGGACAGATTTACTTCCTTAGGCCGAACCGATTTTTCATGTTATCTTTGAAGATAAAGAAAACAATAAATACTTTCCCTTGGTTAGGAACTTTTCCAACTTTAATATGGTATCTTAAAATAATTTAAATTATCTCCCTAAAGTATTTATTTCTTACATATTGTTGTTATTTTTCCGGATAACAATTCAGTTTCAAAAGTTAAGGAAAGAAACGAAAGAAGACAATTGACAGGAAAGAAGATATTTAATTAAAAATGATCTCTTTGGTATTATAATTATGTTTCTTCGTTATTCCCAGAGGAACGTCTCGCGAAATAAACGATTATCTTTTACAGTTTATGCAGGAAATACCGACTGACAAAATATTGCACTCCGGAGGTCGTGTTAGAAAAATGGAACAGCAGAATTGAAGGTCTTCGTGTCGCCAAACGGGATTTTATGCAACATAATTACAGCCCTTCGTCGGTAGCAAATTGTCAATCCACCAACGTATGTCCGGCTAGTCCGTAAATTGGCCAGAATATTATTTAATCTTTGCATACCGTTAATTAACCATGAATCACCTCAACATGCAACCGCACAACTGCCATTTCACTCTACCGTCATAAAAACTTAGTTCAAACGGGACAATCTTTTCCAAGAGTTCCTCTGGTTACATCTCTTTTCACCAAAATTTACTACTGGTAAGAGTAAACGTGTTTTTAAAAAAATCCTAAGCTACTGGGTTCCCAATGTGCTTTTGGTCCTAGCTATTCATTTTTACAAGAATTTTATTTTGATTATCTGTGTAGTGAAAACGAGAAGAGGAAAAAAATGACAATATGGCGACAAATAAAAGTCTCATTGTGAATGGAATTTTCATATCAGAGGGGCTGCGCTTCTAAAGACACACGAAGTGCAATAATCGCCTGACAACTCTGACCCTAACGACGAATTCTTACACTCATCCGTAACCAGATATTGGAAACCAACTCTGAACATTAACTATCATACTATACATAACATTATTACACATAACATCACCATAATGCTATTCGATTAATAAGAATTTTTATTTTCCGAATTTTATTTTATTCGACACTTATAAGGAATTATAATCGTTCAGTTATTAATACCAAGAAAGAACATAGCAGCACCATTGACATAGAATCGATATTTACACGTTACATTTTTCCATCGATCACGAATGATTTAAAACAATGTCACACGTAGCTAACAGATAAATTTATCAATTCGCGATATATTTCTTGAACAATTTGGATATCGATCTAGACTTCTAACACGCGTACCGACACGAACAGTATTTACCGCTGATAAGAGGGCAAAACTACAGGGACACGAAACTGGATGAGACTTATCCTGCATACGTGACGCTTCCATCAACGAAGACGACTATTATCTACTTACTGATCGTCACTTGGCAAACAGCGGTTGTATCGTGTCTCGTTTACGAACCCCGTCTCATACTACGTACTCAGATAATGTTAGTAAGTGATAAATTCAGAGTCGAGGTAACTACCTAGGCACTAGAGAAGCTTTTTAAGTATTTAAGAAATAAAAGAAATGTTAAAGATTATGTTTTATAACATAATATTTACGTCTAATATTAAGTTTAATGGTCTTACAGCTTAAAGTTCATGAGTAAAGATTAGATTTATTTAATTAAATTTTTTTCGATTAGAACTTTACTTTTGATTTACCTATTTTAATGATATTTATATAATCCAAAACTATAGAACTTGAAATTTTAGTTATGTTGGTTCTTCCTTCACTACCAATACTAAGATAAATTTCTTTTCTTTTATTTTTCTTTAATAACAAGAAGATACACAAATATAATTAAACTGAACAGCAATAATCATGTATACAAAAATTATAAAAAGAAGTATTGAAAATGTAAACAAAATTTTACCTTGAGGTGTCATTGGTATTCCAGGTTGTAGCATTCCTGATGGTGGTATTCCAGGTTGTGGCATCCCAGGTTGCGGCATCCCAAGTTGTGGCATCCCAGGTTGTGGTATCCCAGGTTGTGGCATCCCAAGTTGTGGCATCCCAGGTTGTGGCATTCCAAGTTGTGGCATCCCAGGTTGTGGCATCCCAAGTTGTGGCATCCCAGGTTGAGGTATTGGGTATGCACTAGGTGCAGTTGCCATAGGTTGCATTGTCGGAAACTGGGATTGTGGCATAGGATAGGAGGAAGACATATCCATTGTTTCACCTAAATGAACAATTATTTTATTATTTATTCGTTATAATGACTTTTATCTTACAGTATCTTATTATGATAATCAAAATATCTTAAATCAGAATATCCTAAATCAACATTACTTAAAAGTATTTAAAAAAAGCTTTTTGAATTTAGAAAAAAAAAGGAAACAATTAAAGATACTAATCAAACTTCATTCCAATTGTTTCCATTTTAATGATACAGCTATCTATATAATGTATATTCGAATTCTTCCGGAGTTGAATGACATGATTATGATATTTTTAGCGTTTAATAACTCTTATTGCAAAAGAATATGCGCATCTTATGAAAAACTTACTGTACTACATAAACACTGATATGATTCCGTATAAAAAGTTTATATAATTTCTCTTTATTTTGTTTACCCCTGTTTGGTATTTAGGTTATGTTTGTATAAAGCTCTCGATCGGTAACATTCCTCGTATAACGACCTTTCTTATCAACAGAGTAGTTGCACTGGAAATTAGTTACGAAAAAGATCGTACGGTGACGAAACTCTAACCGTAATACTGTTTATGTTATTGAAATTGTCAGGTCATTGTCCGCTCCTAAAGGTCGTTGTAACTTATGTGAGGATATGAACTATATGAACTATAGCCGATAACTTCTCATTTTTTCATTGATAACAATCCTTTGTCCCTCGATATGCCTATGATCGATAAATTACACGAATATTACTGGTTAGGTACCAATTCAATTATAGAATTATACTATTATAAATTCAGTTAAGAATAAAATACAGTGCATTTGTTTCTATTTACTATCATTGTTTGCATATACATTAATAAAATGCTTTTCATCTTATATATATTATTTTATATATCTAGTGATATTCATATAATGTATTACAAGCTGTTATCTGAAAAGTTATTGGGGATAGCAGCAAAAGTTTTAGTTCGTATTTAAATCTATGAGGATCTTTCGCTTAATTATAAAGTTTTAGCTCTAAAACATCCTCCCTCGAGGTATACGAGGTCTCGTGAGGGACCTCAATAAATTAGATCGTTATAATAAATCTAATATTAATGGCTTTGAAATAAAATAGATTAAAATTTGTTTAAATTTCTATATTTCATTAAATATGCTTATAATGCAATATATGATAAAAAAAAGTATTGTAAAAAAAAATAAAAAATGAATCGCTAAAATAAACATATGTTTAAGCATGAATGTAGTAATGTTTATAATAAATCAAATGAAAATGACACCTTAAACTAGTTTCCACCTCATTGTATATAGTACTTTTTAATAGCCTTGAATTAGGTTTCATGAGACCTAATCGACGGTTTCCTCGTTTGTTGCGTACAACCTCGATAACTTTTCGTTCGTACGATCTTTTTTCAATGTATACACATAATACGGATTGCTTACACTTTTCATGTTAAAACAAACGACATATACGAATTAGTATTACACGATCGAAGCCATAACGAAGTTTTGGTGTTGTTCTAACTAATGACACTGAAAATTATTGATAAGCGGGAGCGATAAGTGCACGTGCATTTCGAGAACCATATGCATTGTTCTGTACATTCAACAATGCTCGATTCGGTGATATTTTCAAATAAATCATTTCATTTGCTTATTAAAATTATCAATTCTAATTTACGATCTACTTTATTGCATTAACAAGATTAACACTCATTTGCATATACGTATATAGTAACATGTAAAATATGTTATAAATTTATACAAATTTTTAGTAGGATATAATACACTAGTTTGCAAATAAAGATTTCTTTCTATTAATTTCAGATTATTATTAATGTATTATTTTTAATTAAATCGATATTGTTACTAAATAATTTTGTCTGATAACAAATTTGGTCGAAGCAAAAGAACAGGTAAATTTCTAAAAGATTCATAAGTATTACTCTTCAGTAACTAATTGTCACCACTCGTCACCAAATACTACGTAAAGCGATGCAGTGTTCAGTTATGTACACTTTCATCGGATGATGCATCGTGTCTCACATGTGTCTGCGTTCGCATACCACAAGGTCGTCAGTGTCGTGACTACTGGAATGATTACTGGAATGACGTACTGCACGGCACACCAATACAAAAGAAATGGAAGTCCTATGTAAACGGCAAGATACGGTAGCAATATGCACTTCCGGTTTTTCAGAAAAGCTTGGTTACGCCCTTTGATGGTGGAAAATGAAACATGAAACTTACGTGTTGCTTTTCGTTATCTCTTTTTCTTCCTCCTTCTCTCTCTCTCTCTCTCTCTCTCTCTCTCTCTCTCTCTCTCTCTCTTTCTCTTTCTCTCTCGCTCTCTCTGTCTTGCTTTCTCTATCTTTCGTTTTCACTACACTCAAAAGAAGGAATATATAATAGAAATATATAAAAAGATATGGTTAATAAAAATCAAATTTTCCTGTTACGCACGTCTCTTTAGAATTTTCTTTATTGATCTGTTTTAGGAGGTCTTACATTTATGCGGTGTTCTCATGTAGTAGGAATTTTCGTACAATCGAACTATACGAATAAGCCCAAGTACCTTTTGCGTCTTGAATGACTCAATGCGATTACACTCTTATAAAAATAACAATTAAAATTACAAACGTTAGTAATGAAGACTGATTTGTATTTGATAAATCATTTAATAATTCGTTACAATATTATTTTTACTTAACACTTAACATGCAATAACATGCAATTTAAATGGTTTTTATTAATAAATAATAAATATGATAATTCGTAAATAATTAATAAATATGGTAATTCATGAATAACGTTTATTAAAAACAATAAAAACAGATGAATTTCAATTGAACATGATTGTCAAGAATGTTTGGTAATATTCATAAAACTCACTGAATGCTTGGGAGCGTTGAGATCGTGGATAGTGCTGTCTGGAAGATAAGAGAATGACACTTGCATCCGGTAAAGGGAGTTTCCGTGATTCCTCTCTTACTATTTTCCTCGGGTATGATTATACACAAAGAAAGAGCGAACGTCAGCCTCCTCGTTCAGCGCTGCGATTCGTCCGAGTTTTCTAACTCAACCGGTATTCACCAATCGTAAAACAGTTCAACGGAGGAAAAAGGAGAAATGCCGGACAATTTGGAAACTCGTCTTAAAACTCGATTTTGGGTCCTATGAGATAAGTGTCGGAAAGATATATATTGGGTACACGTAAACTAGTGGTAGACTAAAGCGATAGAGGCAGTGCTCAATGTTCGCGCAGGAGCTTCGAAGAAAATCCAAGTGTGATAAGATGGCGTCACGCACGTCAGACCTAGGGAAGAAGTGAGGGGTAGAGGAAAGACAGGAAGGAGGCAGGCCAGGCGAACGTCGCCAGGGGACTGCGGTGTGTGACACAGAGTGCGAATACGGTGCTGTCATGTCTTCTTCGAGCCTTAAGAACGGCTATATTTCGATTACGGTGAAATCTTGTGCACGATCCATTGTTTAATAATATTATCAATGCCTTTGTTCGGCAATAAGAACTATTCTCGTTTTAACGCGCTTATTTCAACAATACGAAGACGGAGTTAATAGCGGTAGTCAATTCTCTTGTGTTCGAAAAAGAACAAACGTGCAACGATAATCGACTAGGTACTCGAGAGAGAGAACCTTCCTCTCGGTCCTGGATACGTCGAGGAGGAGGAGGAGACGGAGGCGAACTGCCAAAGAGATGCGCGAGTTCAAGGTAGTCGTCCTCGGCTCGGGCGGGGTAGGCAAGAGTGCACTCACCGTGCAATTTGTTTCGGGATGTTTTATGGAGAAGTACGATCCAACGATCGAGGACTTTTATCGAAAAGAAATAGAAGTGGACAACTCACCGTGTGTACTCGAGATTCTCGATACCGCCGGTACCGAACAATTCGCGAGTATGCGCGATCTCTACATAAAGAACGGCCAAGGCTTCGTCGTAGTTTATAGCCTGACGAATCATCAGACTTTCCAGGATATTAAGGCAATGAAGGAATTGATAACACGCGTCAAAGGTACTGAAAGGGTGCCGGTATTGCTTGTCGCGAACAAGCTCGACCTCGAGCATCAACGTGAAGTGGATACCGCCGAAGGTAATACTTTGGCGCAACTCTGGGGCTGCCCATTTGTTGAAGCATCCGCGAAAAATCGCACGAATGTCAACGAAGTATTTGCGGAAATTGTACGCGAGATGAACTTCAGCCCTGAGAAAGAGAAGAAGAGCTACTGCTGTTGCAGCATCCTCTAATAATTAATCAAAATCCTGAACCGGGCTAACCGAGCCATGTTAGGTAAAGGAAATGCATATAGTGGCTGATCGCAGTACACTAGGTGAGATTTATTCATCTGGTGGCTACGCTCTCTCTCTTAGGCTCAACATTGGGCTTGTGCTGTGAATTCGCCAATCTGTAAGACTAATATTATGATCGTACCCTGGATTTTTGTGAATTCAAATACGTCAAAGACTCATGCCGTCTCTTGGTTCTTTTTCTATTGGAAAATCACAGCCTGCTATTTAGCTGGCTGTTAAATATTTTAATATACATGGATAGTATTATGTGTAATATTATTGTAATATATAATAGTAGATGTAAGTGGGCAATGAAAGAGGTAACTCCGTCAGCAAAGGACCAATACTCGAGAGAGAAAGAGTGAGAAAAGGGAATAGCAAAATGGAATAGGAAAGGACACAGTCAAGGGTGATAACAGAACTGCCCTATGGTAGTTGTTACTCGTTAACAGCGAAACCAAACTCAATATGTCTAGCTTTCTGCTCAATCTAAAAATGCACCTGTTGCGTATTTGTTCCAGTCCATGAACCTCTATTACTCGCAGGTTAGATGCTGATTAACAAAGCATCCAAATTATTTGCAGATATTGAAGGAATCACTGTGGTGGTCAGCCATTTGAAATAGTGAAAAGAATTTAAAACATTTGAATAAATGTTGTTTACAATGTACAGTCAAGAATTGGGAAGAAGATAGATGGTTTTAGATACATTGTGCAATGATTTCCATTAACGATATATTACCTATGCTCAATTGTCAGAGGCTGCGGTAAAGAATACATTGTATAGAGGGCTTGAATGGTGTGTCGTTAATGGTACTGGTATTGATTGTACAGTTCTAATAGTAGAATTACATTTTATCGAGGTGAACATGGAGTATCGAATATGGTCACCAATGGGTAGAATTTTATATTTGAGACCAGGATATTCAAAGTTGTGTTCTTGTCAGCTTTCAATATAATTCCATTGCATACCAGATATTGTCTATATTCTTATTTTGATAAGGATTACCATAATTGGAATAAGAACTCAAAGCACAACATCTAATGCTTCGATCAATCAAGGTACGACAAAGAAGGACAAAAGGAACTAAGAAGAAAGGAGATTACAGTAATATTACAGAAGAATATTAGTGCATAACGTCAATCGTAAACATAATTATAGGATTTATATGGTAAAGTGTGTACAATAGAAACAAAAATACAAGATCTTTATACAATTCTAAAAAGTTTTATAGCCAATTTTAAAAAAACCAGCAAGAGGAGGTGAGACTTTGAAATGTGTTTTTTCACAAAGGCTTGCTGGTACATTGATCCCTTCAACTGCAAAATACATATGTGGTATTCATAATAATCTCCAGTATATCCATTGCTTTGTATGAAGAAAAAATCTCCTTTCAAAACTGATTAACATTGAGTTCGTGTATGTAAACAGATAAATGTAAAAAAAGAAGCAATGGACTCCCTTACAAGTAGTAGTAGGTCGTGTGTAATTTTTCTCGTGTGATCAAAAATCATATTATTCGATGTTAAATACCGCTTTTATACCATAACAGTCATTACATTAGCTCGATATGTTATTATTTAACGCCACCATCGAAGTCATTAATTTCCGTGTGATCGCTGCACAACGTACCTTAACAAAAATGAGGGCTGTTCGATCGATTAACTTTTCGTCCTTTTTTTTTTTTTTTTTTTTTTTTTTTATAAAATTAACCGAAGGATGTCAATCCTGATTTCACGAAAAAAGAAACAAAATGTATATTTATAGTTTGTATAATATCTACTTGTTCGTCTCAATTACCTGTCTTTCGGATCGATTACGAATGTTGAATTGTACACGACCGATAGCGCTTCCCGATTCGAACATATCGACGGACCGCAATGTCGAACTGAAGAGTTTCAAACGAACTGATGTACAGTATTTCTATCATGGGTAGTTAGAAAGGGAAAAAAAATGCACGAGTCTAACGATATACAATTCTTGGGAAGAGTTATCGATCGTACACTTAATTCGTTCTCTCCAATTGTCGGTGCACTTTTAGAAACGTCATTTCGTAGCGAATATGCGGGGCTGGCTGTTTTTCTTTCTGACGTCGCAAAGCATTTAACTTTGTGCGTTAATCTTGTTAAAAAATTTGCCAATTTCGAGTCTCACGTTAGGTTTAATTACTTCGGTTAAATAGCTCCTCCTAGACTAAACGTTATGTTACTTTCATTTTTATTCTCATTCCAAAACATTATCATCTTGACCAATACGTCAGAAGCAATATTACGTGTACGTTAGGAAAAGAAGTACTCGACTATGTAGGGAGAATTCGAAGTAGCCTCGTGTATTCGTCTAATGAAGGGTGCTAATACGTTCCGTCAGTTTAAGATTGGTGAAGCGTATACCGACATAGCGAATTGGCCATCCATTTCGTTATTGTACTCAAGTATATAAACAGGCAAGGAAAAAGAAAAAAAAAACGGAAAAAAAAGGGGGCAACAGATATAATTATTCGTATCCTCTATTTTATCACTCGGAAAATTCATAGTCTCGCTGTGATCCCGTAGATTATAACCGCAGTTTTTCTATTAAAAGACGACGATAATAACCGCGTATAGAAGCCTTTCAACGGCGAATCAAAGGGCCTCTTTGTGAAACGTGTAATCGCTCTCGCTCTATTATCGTTATATTTTTTCGCCCTCCTGGGTTTTTTGTGCTTCGCGAAAACCATAGATCGGTTAAAAAGACAAAAGAAAAAAAAAAGGAAAGAAGGTGCGGAGTGGGGGTGGAAGGGGGGAGGGGAAGAAGGAAAAGTAAGGACGCTCATTGACTGCCCGCGGGATAGCTTTCTAAGTATTATATACACACTAATGCACGAAAACGGAATAAAGGAAAAAAGAAGTTTCTATATTTGTATCGCTTCTGAATGTAACGCACACGTTTCTCCGGCGCGGGATCGCGTTTTAAGAATATTTTTCTAAAGAATGCGCTGAAACTTTTGTACACGGGAGAAGAAAAGAAAGGAAACCCAAAAAAAGTAATAATAATAATAATAATAATAATAATAATAATAATAATGATGATAAAAGGACTGTCCTCTACTTGGAAAGCTATCGAGCATTATAAAAAAAAAAATCGAGCTTCGTCTGAGTGAGCATATCAAGTGTCAAGGACCAGGTACGTTTCGTTTCCTTGTTTTATATATATATATATATATATATATATATACATACAATATATATGTATACATGCAGATTTGTTACGCAACTGGGTCACATTAATTCGAGAAACACCACGATTTAGATGTATATCGGCCTTTCAGTACTACCTGCGTATGATATTGAGTACGAAATACGTTATATTTTTTACAATGTGAAGAATCTGTAAATATTATAGCGTCGAATTATATAATAATAATAATAATAATAATAATAATAATATTAATATTAATGAAGGAAAAAAATGAAGGAATACTGATCTGACATTCGAAAAGACAACAATGAGAATGGCTTACAGTAAAAAATGTGCATTTCATTGATAAACGACGTTCTTGGAACATAGTTATGTTTCTTTGTTGTTTTAGCCGTCTTTCTCTGGTTCGTTGTTCTTTGATCGGATTAACTACGTTAAAGCGATATCACTTGGGTAGACGAGAAACGGATACTCGAGACACTACGAAAACGACACCATCTGCAAAAATTGTTCGCTGGTATTTCGAATTTTTTCCTTCGTTTGTTCTACGTTAAAAAGGGAAATACGTGAAATGAGAACATGCGTTATTTTTTACCAGTAGCAAAAGGAGATGTAAAATGTAAAAGTATGTAGTCCTCGTATATTTCCCTGTTTAACACATAAAGATAAACGAGTATCTGTAACAAGTATTCTCATTCTTAGTTTTGGTCAAATTTTCTTTTTAATTCTTATGTTTCACGTATACCGTTTATATTACCAGCATAAGAATCTAGTCATTATAGAAATCTTGTAACTCAATGACATGGAAGAAATGAACGGTTGAAACTTGAAAAATAATGGATTTACTATAAATGGAATGTATAATGAACTGTACTATCCTATTGTCTTATTCGGTCGATTTTCAATTGAAATTGTTTTAAACGTTACTTTTCTAACGTAGTTTAAGGAACTTATAGCATGAATTAAACTTTTAAGAGTTGAAAATATTGTAATTTAATTTTAAAGACGATAGGCTAATACAGCTAATTTGTTTCACATTGCGGACTAATTTTTTCCATGAAAACATTGAGGTCAACCCAATGAAAAGCTACCCACTTGATTTTTGCCTCTCTCAATACTGGTGCACATTTTTTCTTTGTATGCAATTTTTTCACATTTTTTTATTACTAACCATTGTACTGGCATTTTGGAAATATCGCACAAATATAATATAGAATAAAAACAAGTAATTTCTTTGGTACTCATTAGATAATCCTAAACAATGTATAAAATGAAGTTTGAAATTTTGGGAACTCACAATACCCAAGTATTTTTGTATTAAGATTGAAGATGTCTAAAAGTTTTTCTTACTTTTTTCATTTGTAAAATTTTTAATAAATTTTTTTACGTAAGATAATCCAGTAGTAAAATAGTTGATATGTATTGTCAATTAAAAATTTATTGATTATAATAGTATTTAATTGTCTAAACTTTTTTTTATTATTTATAAATAGTTCTTTAAGTATCTTATAATACGCTAAAAATATCAAAAATTTTAATTTTTGATTTCGAGAAATTAATATATATATATATATATATATATATATATATATATATATTATACATAGTACTTTATACAAATATATGAAAACCATATTAGTTGCAATCAAATGCAATAGATATAATTTTTTGTTTAATACAAACATTTAAATATATCAACATAAGAGATCAAACTATTAATTTTTACTTTAGTATATCATAAAATTTTGGGTCTTATTAGAAAAGATATTTTGCGTTTATTTTTCTAATTCTACAATAACTAAACACGTTTCTTTTTAAACAAATTGTGATAAATTAAAAAATGTAAATTTAAAATATTCGTAGATTAAATTTAACAAAAGGTCAACATTTGTTTTAGATTAATTTTTGTTTTTATTTTTCATTTACAAAATTTCAAATACTTTCTGTAATTAGGAAACAAATAGTTCATTCATTTTGTTAATACATGTATAAGCTTCTGTTGCAGGTATTTTCATACAAGTAGAAATTACTTCATAATTTTTGTAAAAGTTTGAAACTTTTAGAGAATGAGATATTTTACATATTTCTTCACTGTACTCGTTGCTTTCAAGACATTGATTACTAAAATGATGAGAAATGTTTAAAACATCTTGCAGAAGATATTCAGGATCATCTTTCGTGTGATTATCTAAATGTGCAAGGTAGGTAGTAAATAGATGTGCATAAGGACTATGTCTTATAGAACTATCAAGTTCATTAATATTTTTAATCAGTAATTGATATATTTTATCGTGATTTTCAATTCCGTCGAGCAATGCAAATGTTCTACAAAAGCTCGTAAAGGACTTAAATAAAAATGGAAATAAATCATTTTCACCGATAGACGGATATTCTAAACATAAGCAGCATGCTTCTATTGTCAAGCGGAGAAAATCGTTATATGCATCGATTTCGTCATTGCATCCAAAAATGAAATAATATATTATAGTAAATTCTGAACCCAATCTTTGATATTCTTCTTCGGTCGAACGAATAATCAAGTGACGCAAAATATCTTCTCTTGATAAACTCAAATCGGACAAATAATTCCTTAACTTTTCCGAAGTCTTAGAATCTTTTTTCAATCTGTTTAATATAACAAAACGTCTTTCATAATCTTCTATTATATCAATTATACTAACGCCTTTTTGCGTTAAGTACCAGAGGGGACCAAAATGTAATTTATCTATTGGTTCGATAATAGATTCGATTTTATTGATAATTTCTGTTTTTGCCGAAATAAACAAGTTTTTGTTTTCTAGCAAATATGGCAATATTCTTATTATCTGAACAAATATCTCATTGCTTATATGTTTCGAGATATTTGTATTTTTTCGAAAAAAAGACATCCTTTTCGCAAGAGCAATTATCAAATCTTTAACATTCATATTTTTGGTACATTTAACCTGTAATTTACGTATACTATTGAGAACGAAATTTATATTCGATACATTTAAAGTATCTTCATTTAAGTACGGTATATAAACGTTATTTATTAAATCGTGCACTTCAATTACGGAATTTTCTAACATAACATTCACGAAGTTTATAAATTTCTTAGTATTCCATTCTGCATTTTCTATACAAATAGCTTTTAAGATACTCGTCAGAAATATTTGATTATTACCTTCTCTAATTTGCATAAACGGTGATAATAAAAGTAAATCATTAGGAGAAATCATAATATTGCCATAATGAGGATGACCAATAGTAATCTTTAGAAGTATTGTCAATATCATTTTAGGATTCTTTAGAAGAAATAATAAGACGATTTTTAAATTCACAGAAGTTCGAAAATTTGCATTTCGCATAATAAACTCATGAAAAGCATCATATGTATACGAACATTCTAAATAACTTTTGCCATTGTGTTCCATTAAATACATCATTACAATTTTGTAAAGATTTATTATATTTTGATATGATAATATCTTTATGATTAAAGTATAATTAAATTCTTTCGAATCTTCTTCCGTTGACTGCGTAAAAACAAAAGTAAGATATTTTAACAGAGTTAAGCAGTCTTCTTTTTCTAATAATGATCTATTTTCATAAATGAAATTAAGTATCGATAGGTCCCATTCTTTATATCTATACAATAATTCTTTCATGACCTCCTTTTTGCCACTAGATATGGTGCAACAGAGTTCTTGTAAACTTAAAACAAAGTTCGATTGTTTAGGATCTGATTTACATGATAACTGTTGTAAACACTCCATTAAATGAGTGTTTTTTGATAATTCTTCATCATTTGATACAAAGTCTATAAAATAGTAACATTCAATTCCAATGGAACGTTGTAAAGTAATCATGTTATTCTCTTCATCATCCAATTCTGCCCAACTTAAATAAATATTACAATCAATTTCTTTGACTTTGATTAACAGTAAATTCATTAACTGTTGATTTAATGTTGATACACTATTCTCTATCAATGTATTTTCACACTTTATAAATGCTTCTCCTCCAAAGGTAACATTATACAATTTTTCAAGATTTCTAGAAATCAAAATTCCTTTATTTTTGTTTTCTAAACATTGTCTTGTTGTACAAATTAATTTTTTCAACATAACACCATGTCGTTTATACTTCTTTAAGATTGATGTGTCTATCAAATAATGTAATTTTGGCTTTGTTAGGAATAATAAGAATTCTTTAAAACAAAGTAATAAATTTTCTATACTTTGTTTAACATCCTTAGATTGTATACTAATTTCCTTTAATTGGAAAAATTTAGTGTATATAATTAGTATCAACTGGTATATACTTTCAACTGATCTTTCAAAGGGTAATTTATCTATACACTTTGTAACTATTTGAACTATCTCTGTACATAAGTCAAATGGTATATATAATAGAGATTCAATTAGAATCTTCTCATATTCAAGAGTACATAATATTTCTATAAACAAATATGGAGATAAAGATGGACACATATCAACTAAATGTCCACTAACAATATCTTCTGCCAAACGTTCTTGATTTACAAAATTAGTATTTAATAGTAAGTACTTGTATGCCTGTACACATCTTTCATCATTTATGGAAGCCTTTTCTGTTATAGGTATATCATGGGTTTCAAAGATATTAGTCACTGATCTGCATATATCATCAATGTGATTACTATTTTCAGTTGTTATGCGTGACACAAGAAATTTCAATTCTCCACATTCTTGATCTTTTTTCATAAGATACATTTGAATTTTTTTATAAAATTCATTCAAATTATCCATTGTTAGTATAATTAATTAAAGCTATATTATTTTGTTAGATTTTCTTGCTGATACAAATTTATGTATAAATTTCTCTATAATTTGTTTAATATAATTGATTTCTGAAAATATAATACAATTATTATTAAACATATCAATTGCTAAAATTATTAATATATATATACATATAGATATTTATAATGAGAAATTAATAATACCATCTTAAAATTAGAATCCATAATTTGTATAATACAAAAATAAAATACATAAAGTACGAAATACAAAAAAAATTACCATAAATTTTTATAACAATATCACACTATGTTCATTTTTTGTATATTCAAAATAATATATATTATAGACGTATAATTTTCAATTTTAAATAAAGTTTTCTTACTAGTTACTCGGATAACTGTTCAATTTTTTTAAATTCATTAGAAAAACCTGCAAGTTTCAGATAAGTTAAGATTATTATCATTGAAGTTACGTCATTATCGAATATTACGTACAAAAACTAAGATCGATCCTACTAATTTGTTTATAAAAAAAAAATGGTTCGTGCATGGTACATGAATAACAGCAATGAAGATCAACGACTAGAGCACCATAAACAACCACCTGAATATATTTCTTTTGAAGACTTGTTTAAGAAAACAGGTGTTGAATATTTTAAGGTTAGGTTAAACTTTAACTTTATTAATTTTTTGTTGTTGTTTACAATTTTATTCCATTACCGTTGTATAATTATGTTCCCATTTTATACTAAATGAATACTTTCTTTGTTTTATTTTATTTTAATTATATATTTGTAAAAGTTTTGAAATTTATATATTACACATTATTATTATACATTATTGGAAAAACTACATACATCATATCAATAATCTACCTTTTATTCTTTATTTGCAAACTTACCTCAATAACGTTATACAGGTTAATTATAAAAATTATGAAACTGACAATACGTTAACAGAATTGAAACAAAAACGCGGTTATACATACGAAGATGAAATAGAATGTTCCAAAAAATGTCTTCCAAATTACAAAGAGAAAGTACGTTTGAATTATTATTACTGTTATTGTTATTATTATATTATTAGGATATTTTGTTATATATTAATGCATTAAACCATTTTTAAAAGTTGAAAAACTTTTTCACTGAACATCTTCATACTGATGAAGAAATAAGGTTAGCTTTGGATGGATCAGGATATTTTGATGTTAGAGACAAAGATGATAAGTGGATTCGTATTGAAATTAAATCCGGAGACTTGATAATTATCCCTAGTGGAATATATCATAGATTTACATTGGATATGAACGTAAGTATTTTATTATACATTTAGGTTCTATTAAAAGTCAATATTATTTACTTATTTTTTGTTTTATAGAATTATATAAAAGCAAAACGTTACTTTGTGGGCGAGCCTATTTGGCTGCCTTACAATAGACCAGCTGATGATATGGAATGTCGTAAAAATTACCTAAATCGTTTAAACAACGGATTTAAGGTATAAGTTCTGTAATGTATATTTTAGCAACTTTAGCAGTTGTTAAGTACATAGCTTGAAGAACCTTGTTTGAGATTCTAATAGTGTTATATTCCACAATATTATACAAATACATTGTATGTATACATTTTGTAAAATTTAACAGTTATTAATAAGAAATATCTATTTTGTATATTAATACTTCTGATGTACATGATTAAAAAATAAGAAATAAAAATTGTTGTCTTTATTAAATAATACATACATACATACATATAAATATCTTAAACAAGTATTGTACATTGTGTCTCAATTATTAAACGTCTTTGTTTTCCATGTAAATCTTTATACAAATTTTAAAGCAAAACCGCTTTCGTGACATGATAATTAATACTCTTATCTAACAAATAGCAATATGCGAAGCAATATTGCAATAAATATACAGTATAATAAAAAAGAAGTTGATTCAATGGTTACTGAACTTTAAACATTATTGTCAAAATGTAAGAATCATTAAATAAATTATTTTAATACTAAATATAAAAAGTTTGTTAGTCCTAATAATATATGGAAAGAAAAGTCAACAATGAAAAATATTTTGTGTTGAAAAAATACATTCTCGTCTACTTAGATGTGTAAAAGAATATCCTTATTTTATAAATAAGTACAATTAAATTAAAATTCAGCACTAACTGTAAAATTGCTTTCGATTCTATCTTGCATTACTCCCCACTTTTGATACTCTCCTACTTTCTTCTCAAAAAAGTTCGTTTTACCTTCTAAAGAAATATGCTCCATAAAATCAAATGGATTTTCAGACATATAAATCTAAAAATGAAAATGTTTTAAATCAATCTTACTTGATCAATTTTATTACTAAAATTATAAAATCTTATACAAACCTTTTGACAGCCTAATTCTATAAGCAATCTATCTGCAACAAATTCAATATATTGGCACATAAGTTTGCAGTTCATGCCTATCATTTCAACAGGCAAAGCTTCTGTTAAAAATTCTTGTTCAATTTTGACAGCATCTTTAATAATTGATGTGACTCGATCCGGAGGTGGTTTTTGTATAATGTGTTTGAACATTAAACATGCGAAATCGCAATGTAACCCCTAAGAAAAAAATATTTCAGTCAAAGCAATGAATTTTATCCACTGTTCATTTTACTTTCCCCATCTTATGAATTATTTTCTTTGTATGTACTTAAACAATTACATACTAACCTCGTCTCTAGAAATAAGTTCATTACTAAATGTAAGTCCTGGCATTAGACCTCTTTTCTTTAGCCAGAATATAGCAGCAAAACTGCCACTAAAGAAAATACCTTCTACCGCAGCAAATGCAACCACACGCTCAGGAAAGGTCGCACTTTCGTGAGTAATCCAATTTAATGCCCAGTTAGCTTTCTTTGCGACACATGGCAAATTTTCGATCGCGTTAAACAAAAAGTCTCTATAAACAAAGAATATCGATATAAATAAATTTACGTAATACTTCATAAATGCCAGTACTATACTATACCTTTTCTTAGCATCTGTAATATATGTGTCAATCAATAAAGAATACATTTCTGAATGTACATTTTCCATGGCAACTTGAAAGCCATAAAAACAACGTGCCTCTGTTACCTGTACTTCTTGACTAAATCGTTCAACAAGATTTTCATTAACTATTCCATCAGAAGCAGCAAAAAATGCTAATACATGAGATATAAAATGTTTCTCATTGTCAGTTAAACGATTCCAGTCAAATATATCCTGTAAATGTTAAATATTACAGAATTATTACTGTGAACATTATCTTCTGTATATAACTGTTCAAAAAATGGTACCTTAGAGAGGTCCACTTCTTCCACTGTCCAAAAAGATGCCTCAGCTTTTTTATACATATTCCAAATGTCAGGCCATTGAATAGGAAAAACAACAAACCTACGTGGATTTTCTTTTAGTAATGGTTCTAATTCTGGATTAAATTCACTTTCTTTCAAATGCATTTTTTTTACAGTTTTTGTTTTAACTACCTGAAAACAAAATTTATAAATTTTATTAAAATGAACTTAATACTAACATACAATTAAGAAATAATTATATATAAGAATAATTACCCCGGATTTAGAGCTGGACTCCCAAGAAATGGTAGGTACAGAATATAACTTTTTTGGAGAAGTCTAAAAATGAAGATGTTATGATTAATATAAAGAAGTCATTCATTACCTTTATGTAAACACATAGTATCAAATATAAGTAATATATATATTTATATTTAAAAATAATTAGCTTATTGATTATTTAATTCATTTAATATTTAACTTACTAAGAGTATAAAAAGACTTTTTAATATCATTTTGAATAATAAAGATACATGAAATATAAAATTGTAAATTTTATTATATTGCATAATTGCATGCAATAAAAATCATGTAAATAATGGTGTTATTCTGTAAAGAACACTAAGAATATCTATGATAACCTAACAATACATGAATTCTATTTCTGAATCAAGTAAAAACTTTAATATTAATAAAAACAATTTACAAATTAGTATATAGTACTTTTGTATTTTTGGATACATATTATATTTAACATTTAAAAAATTTAATTCATCACACTACATATTAAATTACATATTATATAATATATTTAACTGTTAGTACTATTTTTGTCTTTTTAATTTGAAAATTATATTCATTAACATAAATATATAGAAAAAATATACAAAACCTTCTTGACAAAAGTATCTTACATCTTGATTGAACATGAGAATGTGCAACATATAGTTTGATCTGTTTACTGTATGATACAACTAATATAAATTATTCTTATCATATAACGAACTATGTATTTAAATACTTTATTTTATATGCAATGAAGTTAAATTTATAACTTATTACAGGTCCAATAAATTTGGAAAATCTTTAATAAATAAATGTAACAATGTAACCATTTTATACGGAATTTTTTCTACAATATTTTTAATTATATAATATAATTGAAATAAAGATTGAACAGGCGAAAACAGAATATTTTACTTTATAATACTTTTATCAATATTAAACTTGACACAATACTTCAATAGGATTGCAATAAAAAGTATACAAATTGTACATATAGTTATTTAAAATAAATAAAATTTTATTATTTTAAAAGCAAAAATAAGTAAGAGAAAGTAATTTTTGAATAGAAAATTTCAATTCACTTAAAGTTACAAAAAAATATTAATGAACTTACTTTATCTACTAAAGAAACATTTTCAAAATGTTTACGAATGTTTTCTTTTGTTGAAACTTGAAGTGGCATTGTAAAATTCAGCGAGTATCACAAAAAAATGCGATAAAAAGCAATTAAATTGACATTAACTTTACTGACTTTCCACTCGTAAAAGCAACAGTCAAATGCTAAGTGCACGATACCAGAAGTATTACTTTATTGGTGCTGTTTCCCTTTACTTCGCGCCAAAATATCAACGTCCAATCATCTAATTATATTTTACCGCCAAAATATATCTACATTTATATGTCGAAAAGTGCACATATTTATTAATGATATTTCTTTGGAAACTTTTAAAAATAATTGTTTTCGATTTCTTAACAATAATAATTATAACGATTATAATATACTGATACTGATTTTTCCCGCGTATTTTTTAAGATTGCATATGGCACAGAAAGAATCTTACGAATGATTCATAAAAAACATAAGCAGGATTTTCAATGAAATAATTAACATGAAAACCTACTCATTTAAAGTATATAATTTAGTTATCTAATTTGTGTATTAGTCATGTATACTTAATATTAACACATCTTTTTTTTTTTAATTAATTTTTATATTCGATTACCATTTTATGATAAATTGAATTTTGTCATATAAAATTCTTTAAGTACAAAAACATTTTATTGGCAAAGAAACATCATTCAGTTGTATAGTAAAGTATTAAGGTAATTTAATAATAAAAATTTGATGAATAGATATACACATATTTATCGAAATTAAATATATACATGAATTTTGATAATAAATCAATTTGTAGATTTTAATGCGTATTACGTATAATACAAATAACAAATTTACGATACATACTATAAATAATGTTTCATGAAAACACATTTTAATATAAACAATCATCAACTTTGTTAAGATCATGTCGATATTATTTCACATACTTTTTTCAATTGTATTTCAATCATAAAAATTAGCTAAATGCTATTGTTAATATAAAAAATGTTAGGGACAAGTGTTTATAACAGCAATAAAATATCAAATTTAAAAGAGCGCCATTTTATGTTATCATAAAAGATTTGGTTAATTCTGTATCTTTATGATACATTATAATTTAAATATTAGTTTTCTCAGTTAGTATTTTCACCATTAAATGACCATCTTAGTAATATATTTATCATGAAAGAATAAGTTTTCGTATCTTTTGAACAAATTGTATATTGAAAATCGATTATATTGCGAACACTTTAAATATCAAGGTTAGTATTGAAATCTATTTTGTTTATGTATTATAAAATTATATTATAGTTAAATATATGTTATCATATTACAAATATTATTTTGTAATTTATTTAATATAATTAATTTGATTGTATGAAATATTGTTATGCATTTAATTTAGTTTATTTTTCTTATTATATTACGGTGTAAATACAAATGTTACTTAATAAATTATGTAATTGTATATAGATACTATACAGTGTACATTTAATATTGCTTTAGGTGAAAAAACACAGGGAAAAATATGGCGTTACATAGTGTACCGCCAAAAAGGAAAGAAATCTATAAATATGAGGCACCATGGCCTTTATATAGTATCAATTGGTCAGTAAGACCTGACAAGCGATTTCGTTTGGCTCTTGGCAGTTTTGTGGAAGAATATAACAATAAAGTACAAATAGTTTCATTGGATGAAGAAACCTCTGAATTTAGTGCAAAAAGTACGTTTGATCATCCATATCCAACTACAAAAATTATGTGGATACCAGATAATAAAGGTACTTTTATATTGCTGTAATAAATGCTATTTAATCATTCAAATTATTTTCTATTTTATTTTCATTTCTATATTTTATTGTAATAGGATTGTTTCCGGATCTGTTAGCTACATCTGGAGATTATCTGAGAATTTGGCGGTTAGCTGAACCAGAAACTCGGTTAGAATGTGTTTTAAATAACAATAAAAATTCAGATTTTTGTGCTCCTCTTACATCATTTGATTGGAACGAAGTAGATCCAAATTTAATTGGTACTTCTAGTATAGATACAACATGTACTATTTGGGGATTAGAAACTGGTCAGGTTTTGGGTAGAGTGAATATGGTTACTGGTCATGTTAAGACACAGTTAATTGCTCATGATAAAGAAGTATATGATATAGCATTTAGTCGGGCTGGAGGTGGTCGCGACATGTTTGCATCCGTTGGTGCAGATGGTTCAGTAAGAATGTTTGATTTGCGACACTTAGAACATTCAACTATAATCTATGAAGATCCACAACACACACCACTTTTGAGACTTGCATGGAATAAACAAGATCCCAATTATCTTGCAACAGTTGCGATGGACGCTTGTGAAGTAATTATTTTAGACGTTCGAGTACCATGTACACCAGTTGCGAGACTTAATAATCATAGGTATATAACGCGCATTTATTTCAATTTCATTTTTTGTACATTTTATACAAAATTTTTATTTTAACTTTTCCTTTAGAGCTAGTGTTAATGGTATTGCTTGGGCACCACATTCATCCTGCCATATTTGTACAGCGGGAGATGATCATCAAGCATTAATTTGGGATATACAGCAAATGCCAAGAGCCATTGATGATCCGATTCTCGCTTATACTGCTGCAGAAGGAGAAGTGAATCAAATTCAGTGGGGTGCTACACAACCTGACTGGATTGCTATATGTTATAATAAAGCAGCAGAAATCCTTAGGGTGTAAAAAAGTATCTCTCATTAGGTTTATACTATTTTTCGCGTAACAAAGTTTTTTTGCAAATCATTTATTTAAACTGAAAATTATGTGTTTTACTTTAGTATTTGTACAGAACTTTGTCTTTGCCATAAGTTTTTTATACTTCTTTTTGTACCTGTAAAATAGGCATGTACAAATACTAGTTATTTTTTAAAGTATTAAAAATTTGGTAAAGAAAATACCTTGAGCTGTGAAACAGGTATTTTGTAATCAGAAAATTTATATAACTATTGGTAATTTTTTAATGTATTAATTTGATTTAGTTCCATTGCTTTTGTATATTCAAATTATTGGAGTAAATAAGGCTGAAATAATTTGAAAATATCCAGTATGTGTACATGTTAATTTAATGATAATGCAATGGTTTATCATTGTGCCACTAGTATTTCATGTATTTACAATTCTCAGGTTTATCCAAGAATTGTCGTGTGATTGAGCAAAATTATAAGAATCTGAAGAAGCTCATTGAATAATTTAAATTTAAGTAGTAGCATAAAACTGGGTATGATATATAAATAGTGATGAATCACATGTATATTTATAGTAATGTATATGATCGTAATCGATGTATCTTATTTTGTGGTGATATATACATAATGAGGTTTCAGAAATAATGAATGGATTTATTTCTTACAAAGATTCTAGAATACTCAATAAACAGTTGGATAACCATTTTTCATAAAATGCAACAAAATAAAATATATCCATTACGTTATATAATATTGTATATATGTTTATACTTACATACTTACTTGATTTTGTAGAAAAGCGTAGGATATAGATAGGTTTTTCATACATTTTTTCATTATATTAGCAATTAGTAGATTGTTAAGAAATATATACAAAAATTATTGTCATATTCAAATGTGATGCGTATTCGTACTTTAATAAAAAAAAAGTTATCAAGTTCTTTTATGAAAAAGAAAAAAATAATAGTAGAAGCGCTCGTGATACTAGTAGTAATAATAAAATGTTTACTTACGATCTGTCAATATTGTAATTGAAAGTAAGTGTTTTTATATGTTAATTATTTAATTCGATAATGTAAATTAATTAGTAGCAAAGCAGCTACAAATCATACCTTTCGTATCCCGATTAAAATTAGAATAGGATTCACAATTAGTACATTTTAAGTTTTAAAAAAGCACGATTTATATTGGTACTCAAGTATTTTATAATTTACAACTATATAATGAGCGAGATGCATTATTTACAATAATGAAATGTGTATGCGAGACAAAATATTAGCCAATTAATACATTCATTTTCCATGATAAACTTCCGTTCGTTTTTTATCAAATATCCGATAACTTTACGCAAATATAAGATTAGACTATTATAATGCTATCGCTACTTCAATAAATATCATTAACTCTGATACAGAGCAAGCCTTTCACTACCTATTTATTTAGTATAGTCAATGATCTTGCATTTCCTTTCCAATATCTCAATTTAATATCAATAATTAAAAGACATTTACATATATAGCTACGTCGAACAAATTTTTTTTAAATATTATCCCTATCAATAATTTACATTAAACTTTGGTAGAACTTGGGTAGAACAAGGGGTAATGACATGCATTTTACCTCATTCTAAATGGTATATATTGTTTTTTTACTAGTTCTATGATTCATTCATTTCTTAGATCAAGTGATTCTCTTACATTCTATTCAGAGACTCACGCATGATCCATAATAACACACATTGCACTTTTCTAGAGAAAAATGAAACGAGCAAAAAGATTAAATGATCAACGACGAAACACTAAATATCTCTCAGATAAACGTAAAACACTTACGCTCACCATTATTCATATATCGTTACACTTTTATTATAATTAATGCATCGCGTTAATAATAAATTAACAGGTCATGTTTTCCATTTTAGAAGATTCCATAAATGCTTTTATAATTATCTTTGCTAAATTGTACTGAACGCTTGTTCTACAGAAACATAGATCAAGTTCAGTTCTTTCATTCTTTGTGAATATAATATATGGACAATTCCAAATATATTTTAGAGTACTCAATTTGTTACTTTATGGTAACACAATCATTACCCTTACATTTTACTCTCTTTCTTCTTAGAGAATACATCACATATCTCTATTAAATATCTCCTGTACTCAGAAACTAATACTAAACGATGTTAAAATTAGCATTAGTGTTTCTTGTTAACATATTCGTGAAGCTTCAGCCTCTCTACACTTAGAGGATATCGAATATAGATATATTCAGTAAATTCATATTTAGAGGACTGATGAGGTTTTTAAAGAACGCATAATTTGCTAGCTATGTAATGGAGATGTAACACTGTACATCCCATAGTTAACATGTTTCCCATTGCTATATAAACGTGAACGCGTCTAAAGGCTTGATGAATTTTTAAATAATGGGGGCAGTGTTTAAGAGGACCAGGATTGTGAACACCAATCTCATTGCCGACACCAGCAGCACGTTCTAAAGTATTCTTTTGCACTATCAATCGTAGAAGTGGCGGAGTTAAGTAGAGTCGTATCAGAAGCTCCAAAAAAAAGGCACTGAACATACCACCTACCTAAAGATATATGAAGTAATTAAAATGGGATAGATTTATACGATATTATGAAATTTCGATTGCTTATTTTACGAACCTGGATGGCAATTTCAGTATCCCAAGTATGCATAGGATGGTGTTTAACGAAAATAAGAAGTGTAGTGAAGCTGAGACATGCATTGATGGTAAAATATCTGGGGAATAAAATACGCTGAACCTCTCCAAATATATGTCTTGGCAATGCGAAGTACAAGGTAAGACCTATAATCAAATATATGTATTCATAAATAATTTCATAATTTTCAATCATTGATATGATTATCTTTTCTGTTTCTGCTTCGTTTATAGCAATTACCCGATACAAAAGTCATCCAGATTTGGGCACCAAGATGCATCACGAATGAAGCTAGATAAATGAAGGATGTTGCTCTCGACTGAGAATGACTAATATGCACTCTGTCTGTTGTTGGTACAAGAGCCGATGTTACGCATAAAACTGCTGCGATCATAATAACGTGAGCCGGTTGTGTTGTGTAAAAGAGGATTCTGTAACAAAAAAGAGTTTCATAATAATATTAGAATTATGGGTATAAATGGTTTTATTTACATAATGTAAATTGTTAGAAAATTGGTAATACCTTAGTTTCTATTTTCTATATACATCAATTATTTTACAATTTTATACATTTAATTATTTTTAGGAGGAATATATTGTAAATTTTTTATTTTTAATTATTGCGGCAAGTACCAGTTTTCAAATTTATTTAAAGCAACAAAGAAATTAACGATAACATAATTTTTGGATTTTTAAAGCAACAATTTTGATAATTACATTATTTTTTGTTATTATTAAGTTTTCTTTACTTATTGTTGTCAGTGTCAATTTTTCATATAATATTAATAGCCGTACTGGAAAGGTATCACTTGTTACGACATTTGGCCCAAGTGTTAAAAAGATTTATATACAAGATCGAGTATCGATGCGACTGATTTTCGAGTTACAAATTTATAACTTCTGAATACAAAGCTGATCACTGTAATCATTGCCACCGTTCTCAGAATTCGATTATATTAATTATGTATGTAAATACTTAGGATATTTCAAATTGTGTATTGAACGATGACTACTTTATAAAGCGAATTTCAGGATCATTTGTACATGAAAGTTTATTGAAAGCTTATACGCGGAAATTCATATTAACATTTCGAAAAATTCAAATTTTTATTTTCAAATATCGTAAATTTTCCCTAAAAATTAATATTGAAAGTATAGAATATAATGTAACATATTACTAAAGTATATACAAAACTTTTACAGAATTAGTTTGTTGAAAATATATTAAAAATAATCGTGATTATAATTTACGTGAATAGAAGTTAATTAAAGTTAGATCAAATTAAAATTAGATCAAATAAATTTAAAAAATTGGTAATGTTAGTATCTGAGTAAAATTTAAAAGATATAATCGGAACATGTTTTTAAAAATAAAAAGAAATATTTCTCCAAAATTCATCTTTTAAAAATATATTCGGGGAAAAATAGAATTAAAATCGAAAGCGATGTCTATACCATTCACTTTCAGTGGAAAATCGTTCGTGAATACTTTCTTCAATTACGCTAAATGATTTTAAAAAGTACAATACCGGTCACATTGAATTAAAAATCGACTGTCGACGTATATGGCAGTCTCATCATCGAAACGGTTTACACGACTCGCGTGACCACATCTTATTATCAGATCCGGTTCTCCGTTAAAGTCGGACTCACGAGACTCACTCAGTATCATCATCGTCTCGGATGCCAGAACGGTGTTAGAACGGAATTATGTCTCGTGACAAGGTTATTTCAGCAAAGAACAAATTCATTCATAGACTATTCCTGAATTAAATCGAGTTACGGATAATTCTTTAAGCATAGAATAGAAGTAAATGAACTTAATGAAGGATCTGACATAAATTAGAAATTTGTTATTATATTCAAACAATAATTTCGACCTCATGGGTTTTAAATAATTTTCTTTTCCTTTTGAATAAAAGCATATCTACCATGGATGATAAATTTATCGTTTGTTTTTTTTTTTAAGATAATAACGAGTAGTTTTCGTAATATCTTATGAAACGCAATTTGAAAATCCACGGATTAACAATTTGGTTTCGTATTTTCAAAAATGCAACATACACGCGAGCAGGCGTCGCAAAATGGTGTAAATAGGAAACATATTTGTCGAAGGATCGATGGAGCATAGGAGTTCGAAAGTATTTGATATATTTGCTGTACGCCTTCCATATCGATGGAATCAATTCGCACGTAGACGATAGAAGCGGTATCCCGTTATACCTTAATGTTTCACCACTGAGATTGCAGACATATCTTTTCAATATCTCATTGAAATTACACAAATTGCGAAAAATTATGTACACCAAGATTCCCTGGTTTGCTGGAAACAATTTTTCATAAAATAAAATTAATATTATATTTCACGTTTGATGAAGTCTAACCTAGAAATTTATAATTAAACTATGCGATTTCGTACCTCTTATAATGTATTAATTATAATAAATGTATTATTAAATTGCTAAATGTTTGAAAGGTGCATTTTCTCTTGATATTTATTTTTGTTATCTTTGTATTGAAAGACGTAAAATTCCATTAATTCTCGCAATTTAAAAATGGAAATAAATGGTTACTGAATTTCAGTTTGTATTAATGGCTTTTTGTCATAGTATTCTTTTCTACTTTCATCTAATAAATCTTTTGTCATGTTTAGGAGTATAACATTACGGAAAAGAGCCAAGTAGAACATGTGGCCAGAAGAGAGGTTATCTGAGTGATAATAATATTCGTGGAAAGTTCACGTTATATGAAGTTAGGAGCGCTACTTATCCGCGAAGATGTAGATACACGTGGTTTTGCGTGCAAGTACCTGAATGGATGTTTTATGTAGCGCTATACGTTATGTCTGAGGTTTTGCTCGGTCGGTATAACATTACATCTTCTATTGCTCCGTGGTCGTTATTAAAGATGCTGTGATACTTTATCCTATGGGTTTTTGAATGATATTATTTGATCTTCTACAATAAAAAATTATATGAAATTATTAATAAAATATTATCTCAATAATACTCGATGTAGATAAACTTACATTGTTCTTACTTGAGAATAAACTTATTGCTGAATATAGTACTTAAGTATTACATGAATTCTGAGTAATAAAAGAAAGCTGTTAAATTTCTTTATATCGCGTTCAAGGAAAGATATTAAAGTGACTGAATTTTCCTGTTTTATTACGGGATTCCCAGATATTCCAGTTCAGAATATGTGGCACTTATAGTACGGTTTAAAGAACTCATATACAGCATCTTTCAAAATATATGGTCACCATAATTTTAGATAGAACATTTCAAAATACGTTTATACATAATGATTCTAGATATATGGCATTTATGCTTCTTTTATAATGTACTCTAAAATAGATGATCATCTATTTTACATTTTTATACAAATCGATTCAAAATATCGATATGCAAAATGGTATTCATATATTGTTATACAGCATAGCTCAAATTACACGGTGTTTGTGGTTTTCTAACTCTGTACATCTTCAAAAGACGTACATATTTTCTTTTACGTTATAATCCTACATATAACATTTCGAAACTCTAATTCTTTCTTACAATGTGTTTTAAGGTTAGTTCTAAAATAAAACTCTAAGATTCAGTTTCCTAGAGAATCGAGAACTCGTACACAGAATTCGAGATACTCTCTTTTTAGATAGCTGTGAACTCAAAAGGGAATGCGAGATCGTTTTCGGCAATAAGGCAAAATCGTTAAGGAATTGCATCATCGCTTCTGTTCCCGTAAGCGTTTAATAAATTCGTTTCAAAGCCGCTAAATATAAACTTATGGCTGCAAAACAATGCATCAGCGGGGTCTGTTAAGAACACGGTATATTTCGGGTCGTGGCACCTGTGTTTGAATGGTTCGTTGTACGACACGAAACCACGCGTGTTTCGCGACGTGAATGGAACACAAAGTGTGTCCAATTGTACATCATAAGAAAATTACATCACGTTCCAAGCCGGTCAAATTACTTCTATGACGCGCATCTTTAGCGTTACTTCTGTCATGGAACTGGTTGAACTAGAAGTCTTTTCTTACTGTTCTCTATTCTTTCCTTCACTCCTGACTCAGCGGTTGCTCTTCCTTGACGTGGCAACCGACCATATAATTAAATGTCTATAAATTGATAATTAACATGTCATTGAATCATTCGTATCTGGGAGATGTATCTTGTGTAATTATTCATAGGTTATCGTGTATTTATACTTCTTATCCATTACTTACTCCGTTTCTTGAAATAAATTCACTTCTTCCATTGAGGTATATAAGCAGTGCAAGAAATACGATGTATCAAACAAATAACACGTAACTCTTACACGTTCGTGTGTATTGAACAGTCATGTAATTCTGTTCGGGGGATTCCCAGAATCGTCTTGTACAGCTTGCGACTGTTAGCCGGTCAAGGACCCCTGAGTTTGAAGAATTGCTTCGAAAATTTTTACACGTTCCACTGACGGACTTAACCAACCGTTAGCGAATCTTTTTATTACTAATGATTTTAATTTCAATTCGTGGAATTGTTAATTTTTACAACGCATACCTCAGTCTTGGAAAGAAGAGAAAGTTATTCGGTTTTCGCAGTGTCTGCATATGCGCTATCGAATAACCGGTGCTTTTCTTCACAGGAATCTTAATTTAAATTCAACATGTTCTATCTGAATTTTCGTTGAGGGAAAAAGAAGCGAAATATTTCTATCTTCGATCGAACGATTTGCCATTTGCATATTGGCCAAGATAAGTTTTCGAAATGTTTGCCGATACGACGGGCCGATGAGACATCAATGGAACTGCATACACAGCACAGATAAGAAACGTTGGCGACAAGTCACATTAACCATCACGTTTCATGATTACATCAATCATTCAGGATCATTGCACGATGCGCCAACGTCAACTCTCTCTCACATTAATTATTTGCAACTGGATTCGAGGTCAGCCAAAGACGTTTTTACTCCTCCCCACAACAAATCCCTAACTACACATCTACAAGCATACGAATAATTTCCTTCCTTCTTCCGATGTTACTTTCAATGAACGTGGACTTTTTCTTTCGTGCTCTACATTTCAAGGCTGAAAGAAAAACGAAGGCAAGAGGTTATTCGAGTTCCGAAGAAACATTATGATGTAACGTCTTATCTCTCGGAATGTGCAATTAAGATAGTTTATGTAAAGTCTCCTAGATAGCAAAGATAGAAGAGATATAAGAGGACACCCTATATATGTTAATCCCTATGCAAATACGGTCAAAAATCAACAAGCACCTGCATGATGTTCGAATAAGTTTCTCTAACCAGGCAATTAGGGTTCCTGCACGACATAATTACGGTCAATTATTTTTTCCTTCTGCAGGTGAGGGGCAAGGGACTATCAGTTACGAAAGGGAACTGAATCGAGGTAATTTGACGCGTGAACGCGCAAGCGTTTC